ATTCTCTTTACACTAGCACCAACAATACAGGACTTAGGAGCACATTTAGCAAACGACGTACAACACACATACTCCAAGAACTACAGAGCACTGTTGAAGGGAACTAAAGACCTAAACAAGCAGAAAGACATCCCATGTTCCTAGACGGGAAGACTTAGCGGCAGGGAGCTGGTACCACTTGCCAGAAGCAGCCACAGATTAACTGCAATTCTTTTCAAACTCTCAACTGGCCTTCCCTCCCTCCTTCCCTCCCTCCTTCCCTCCCTCCTTCCCGCCGGAGGGAGCAGGAACTGACAAACACATCCTGAAATTCACATGGATATAGCAGGTGCTCTGGGTAGCCAAAATAATCTTGAAAAAGCTGGCAAACTCATACTTTCTGATTTCAAAGTATATGACACAGTTAAGAAATCAGGACAGCACAGCATTGGGAGAGACATACAGATCACTGAACAGAACTAGGAGTCCACTAATAAACCTTCATATTTATGATCAATTGGTTTTGACAAGAGTGTATAAACAATTTAATGAAGAAAAACACTCTTCTTAGTAAATGGTGCTGGTACAGATTGGAGAGCCACACGGGAAAGAATGATTTTTAACACTTATCTTACACCAGATACAAAAATTAACTTGTCCCCCCCCCCCCCAAAAAAAAAAAAAAAAAAAAAAAAGGCCGGCACCACAGCTCACTTGCTGGCACCTAGGGTTCTAGTACCGGTTGGAGTGTCAGATTCTGTCCCGGTTGCCCCTCTTCCAGGCCAGCTCTCTGCTGTGGCCTCGGAGGGCAGTGGAGGATGGCCCAGGTCCTTGGGTCCTGCACCTGAATGGGAAACCAAAAGGAAGCACCTGGCTCCTGGCTTTGGATCGCCACAGCGTGCTGGCCATAGAGGCCATTTGTGGGGTGAACCAACGGAAGGAAGACCTTTCTCTCTCTCTCTCACTGTCCAACTCTGCTTGTCAAAAAAAAAAATTAACTGAAAATGGATAAACACCTACAACTATAAAACTCCTACAACTATAAAACTCCTAAAGGAAAATATAAATCTGTGACTTTAAATCAAGCAACAATTCTTACATAGGACACCAAGAGTGCAAAGAAAAATAAGTAAACCGAATGTCATTAAAAAAAACCAAAACAAAAAAAAACCAAAACAAAAAAAAAAACCAAAAATACACCCTTGGGGCCAGCGCCGTGGCTCACTTGGTTAATCCTCCGCCTGTGGTGCTGGCATCCCACATGGGCGCCAGGTTCTAGTCCCAGTTGCTCCTCTTCCAGTCCAGCTCTTTGCTGTGGCCCGGGAGTGCAGTGGAGGATGGCCCAGGTGCTTGGGCCCCTACACCCACGTGGGAGACTTGGAGGAGGCTCCTGGCTTCAGATCAGCTTAGCTCCAGCCCTTGTGGCCATCTTGGGAGTGAACCAGTGGATGTCTCTGTCTCTATCTCTCTCTGTAACTCTGTCTTTCAAATAAATAAAGTAAACCTTAAATAATAAAAAAAAGAATATATACTGGGGCTGGTGTTGTGGCATAGTGGGTAAAGCTGCTGCCTGCAATGCTGGCATTCCAGAAGGATGCTAGGTGGAGTCCTGTTTGCTCCACTTTCTATTTAGCTCCCAGCTGAAGCACCTGGCCAAGCAGAAGATGGCTAATTGCTTGGGCCCCTGCTGACATGGGAGACTAGATGAAGCTTCTGGTTCCTGAGCCCTGATCATCATGGCCATTTGGGGAGTGAACCAGCAGATGGAAGATACCTATCTCTCTCTCACTCTTGTAACTCTTTCAAAAAAAATAAATATTTTTTTAATTTGTTCATTTGAAAGGCAGAGTTACAGAGAGGCAGAGGCAGAGAGAGAGAGGCAGAGAGAGAGAAAGAAAGAGAGAGGTCTTCCATCCACTGGTTCACTCCCCAGATGGCTGCAACGGCAGGAGCTGTGCTGATCCAAAGCCAGGAGCCTGGAGCCTCTTCTGGGTCTCCCACGAGGGTGCAGGGGCCCAAGGACCTGGGCCATCCTCCACTGCACTGCTTTCCCAGGCCACAGCAGAGAGCTGGATTGGAAGTGGAGCAACTGGGACTTGAACCAGTGCCCATATGGGATGCCGGCACTGCAGGCGTTGGCTTTACCCACTATGCCACAGGGCTGGGCCCCAACAAATAAATTTTTAAAAAAAGAATATATAAAAATGACCAACAAGCCACACAAAAAGGTGTAGAATATCATTAATCATTAGGTAAATGCAAATCAAAACCATAATGAGATATCACTTCATACCTACTAGGATGACTAGAGTTAAAAAAAAAATTGGGGGAATGAGAGTATAGAAAAATTTGGATCCTCACATGCTTCTGGTGGAATGTAAAATGAGTAGAAACCAATCTGGCAGTTTCTTGAAAAGTTAAACAGGGGACAGGAGCTGTGGGGCAGAGGGTTAAGCTGTCACCTGGGATGCCTTCATCCCATGTACGATCACAGACCAGTGTGAGTCCCAGCTACTCTGCTTCTGATCCAGCTTCTTGCTAATGTGCCTGGGTGGCAACAGGTGACGGCCCAAGGACTCCCGGCTTCAGTCTGGTCTAGCGCTGGCTATTGCAGACACGTGAAGAGTGAAAGAGCAGATGGACAGTCTCTCCCTCTCTGTCACTCTACCTTTCTAATAAATATTTTTTTCAAAAGTTAAACAGAATCCCCATGCTCCCGCAATTCCATTTACAGGCATATACCAATTGGAATGAAACCATGTTTACAATTTGTACTCAAATGTTCACAGTAGCATTATTCACAGTAGCTGGAAGTAGAACAACCCAAAGGTCCTTCAGCGCAACAAACAGATAAAGAAAACATGGTCTGGTCTTCCATCAGAACGTCATTCAATCATGAAGAACTGATCAGGCTACGACACGATACTAAGTGGACAGAAAAGGCCCCATGGGACCCCACTTACATGCAATGCCCGGAGCAGCAAATCCATAGTAAGAGAAAACAGGTCAGTGTCTGCCATGGCTGAGGGCTGGAGGCTCCAGGAGGAAAGGGAGCAGCTGCTGATGGGTTAGGTGCTTCTTGGGGGAGTGACGACAATGTCTGGAATGGGGTGATGGTGATGGTTGCACAACTGTAACTCCACTAACAACCACTTGAGCCATCATGTGTTACACCCCAGGGTGCAGTTTAGCAGGAAGCTGGATTGAAGTGGAGGTGGGACTCGAACCAGGCACGCTGATATGAGATGTGAGTGTCCCCAGTGGCAGCATAGCCTGCTGTGCCACAACGTCCACCCTTGAATTACAACTTTTGAAGAAGCAATGTAAAACTATCGTAAGAGAACATAAAGAAGCATGTTGACAATGGACAATGAGCCCCCTTGGGTGAAGGTGACCAGATGGACAATGAGCCCCCTTGGGTGAAGGTGACCAGATGGACAATGAGCCCCCTTGGGTGAAGGTGACCAGATGGACAATGAGCCCCCTTGGGTGAAGGTGACCAGATGGACAATGAGCCCCCTTGGGTGAAGGTGACCAGAGAGTCTGAGAACCACGACACTAACTGCAGGTCAGCTTGCTTTCTATCATCACTGCACACCAGCGGTGCTGTCCCCCTCTGTGGGGCGGTGGCTGCCCTGGTGCCACCGTCTGTTCTCCCCGCGTGCAGAGGAAAAGCACGGGGGTACCACAATTCATTACACGCCACTGCATGTCTGCTACACCATTCACAAGGTGGTGCCATCCCAAATCCAACCTGCTCCCTGCATAACGTGGAGAAGGAAGAGCTACCAGTGAGGACGCGCGGCTCCCTGTGGCATGGCACCAAGCATCCTGACTTCCAGGTAAGGTCTCCCATCACATCACGCCAGTGTCCACGGGACTGGTGTCCCCATGCCCTGCCCTGCACTCCTGCCTCTGCCTCTGCCTCTGTGGCCACATCCCTGAGGGCTCCTGGTGGCCAACATATGAGATTCACACAAAGGCATTTGCCCAAACTCTTCTTTCTTTCCTGTCTCCATTTCAGGGTTCTTTGTTCAATGACTAATCTCTCCTGCCCCATGTCTGCCAATAAAGTCACAAAACAGAGACTAGCAGGAGTCTGAGTAAATAACTCCTATTAAATCACAGCCCCTAATTATAAATTTCAATGCAAATATACTTAGCCCTGGAACCAAGCCTAGTAGATATTCAAGGGTAGCTAATAATGCCCTGAAATCTGATCTGCTTGTGATTTCAAGACAATAAGAATGGGCCGGCGCTGTGGCGTAGTGGGTAAAGCTGCCACCTCCAGTGCCGACATACCATGTGGGCACAGGTTCGGGTCCCGGCTGCTTCACTTCTGATCCAGCTCTCTGCTACTGCCTGGGAAAGCATTGAAAGATGGCCCAAGTCCTTGGGCCTCTGCACACACATGGGAGACCCAGAAGAGCCTGCTGGTTCCTTGCTTTGGATTAGTGCAGCTCTGGCTGTTGCGGCCAGTTGGGGAGTGAATCAGCAGATGGAGGACCTCTTTCTCTCTGCCTCTCCTCTCTCTGAGTAACTCTTTCAAATAAATAAATTAATATTTAAAAAAATAATAAACCATGTAGAATACACGGTAAAGAGAAATAAGGCAGGAGTTGGGGAGGGATGGGGTGATCAGGAAGCTGAGAGTTTCTCCCCAAAGCAAAAGAGGCACTCAGAAAAATGCAGATGGAACGAACACTAACTTCATGGCAAGAATCTTAAGTGACTATCAATTTCTTTATGCTTTTGGGTATTGCTTGACATTTCTAAAAAATGATGTTCATTTTGTAAAACATCAGAAATAAAATATTTTTAAGGAGAAAAAAAATCCAAGTGGTGGCTCAAATAATCTTTAATGTGCTCAGCTCTGAACATCACAACGATCAACTTCCCGCATGGGCCGACACTGACTCTGGGGCCCACTCCAGAGAGGCTGTGGTCCCCGTCCCCAGGAACAGATCCTAACACCTCCCACCTCACCTCGAAGCAAGTTCCCACCACTGAACCTGGCTTACCTGGACAGGTGGCTCGATCATGATCCAGGCCGGAAGCATCAGACTGGGATTGAGAGGCTGGGTTCCTACGCGGAAGTAGACCCCGCCCCTGGAATCGCACGCCCAGATGTGCTGATTTCCACACGCCAGGCTCGTCAGTTTTACAGCCCCTGAAGACAAATAAAGGAGCAGTACATATTGTAATAACTTTTGTAGAATGACTCATCTTTCATTTAATCTGTGAACTTTGATTTTCTACTTCAAAGGGAGGAATGAGGCTGCACTCCCAGAGGAACTCTGATGCAGAGTCAACTGACCCATGAGCGTACCTGACTGGGCTTGGGAACACCGTGACACAGGAGTGACAAAGGCCTCTGGACACCTCTTCACCTGTCAAGGCACCACCTGTTCCAGGCCGTGGGCAGAACAGCCCAAGTTCCATCAGCCTGTGCCCCAAAGCACCCAGCACTGACAACAGTGTGGATCCTACTGCCACTCAGGATCTTACTAGAAGGAAGCTGAAGACAGCAACTGGAGCTGGGAATCAAACCCAGGTCCTCTAATGTACCTGCTAGACTAACTGCCAGCCCCACTGCACTGATTTCTATCACCACAGGTCAGTTCAGTCTATTTGCAGGGCCACATAACGAGAACCACAATACACATTTCCCTCTGCTTCCTTCGCCCAGAACAATGTGACATTTAGCCGTGGTGCCACTCCTTTTACTTCTGTATTACTCCACTGCATGTAAATACCACAGCTAGCATGTCCATTCACCTGCTGATGGGCATCGGGGCCATGTCCACTTTTCCTTAAATAAACGTGTAGCGGTGGAATTGCTGGGCCATAAAGTAGATAAACATCTCACAGTTCAGGAAACTGCCGGTCTCCTCAGTGCTGTCCCACTGCACCTGCTCACAGCAGCGGATGCAAACCCTCCCTGCTCACCTGTGCACCTTCTTCACGTGTGAAGTCTGCGCTTGTCTTGGTTTTCACTTGGATTTCCCTGCTGATGAATGATGCTGAGAATATTTTACTGAGCCATTTGTGTATCTTATGTTGTGGAGTGCCCATTCAAGTATTTTGCCCATTTTAAAGAATTCATTTAGGACCAGTGCTGTGGTTAATGTAATGGGTTAAGCTTCTGCTTGCGCAAGCCGGCATCCCATATGGGCACCGGTTCAAGTCCTGGCTGCTCTACTTCCAGCTCCCTGCTAATGCTCCTGGGAAAGACAAGGGGGACGGGACAAGCATTGGGCCCCTGAACCCATGTGGGAGACCCAGAAGAAGCTCCGGGTTCCTGGCTTTGGATTGGCTAAGCTCCAGCCATTGTGGCCATTTGGGGAGTAAATCAGCAGATGGAAGACCTTTTTTTGTCTCTCCCTCTCTAACTCTGCCTCTCAAATAAATAAATTTTTTTTGACAGAGTTAGTGAGAGAGACAGAGAGAAAGGTCTTCCTTTTGCCGTTGGTTTACCCCCCAAATGGCTGCCATGGCCAGCGCTGCGCCGATCTGAAGCCAGGAGTCAGGTGCTTCCTCCTGGTCTCCCATGTGGGTGCAGGGCCCAAGCACTTGGGCCATCCTCCACTGCCTTCCCGGGCCACAGCAGAGAGCTGGACTAGAAGAGGAGCAATCAGGACAGAATCCGGCACCCCGACCGGGACTGGAACCCGGGGTGCCTGCACCGCAGGTGGAGGATTAGCCACGTGAGCCGCGGTACTGGCCCCGTCTTGTTCTTGTATACAATGTCTTACTATGGGATTCAAGTAGATTCCTTGGAATGCTAAACTTAATTTGTTTTTCAAGATTTATTTATTTGAGAGGCAGAATTACAGAGAGAGAGAAGGAGAGACAGAAAGAGAGAGATCTTCCATCCACTGGTTCACTCCCCAAATGGCTGCAACGACTAGGGCTGGGCCAGGCCAGAGCCAGGAGCCAGGAAGTTCCTTCCGGTCTCCTACGTGGGTGCAGAAGCCCAGGGGCTTGGGCCATTTTCTGCTACTTTCCCAGGCCCGTAGCAGGGAGTTGGATCAGAAGTGGAGCAGCAAGTACTTGAACCAGCACCCAAACAGGATGCCAGCACTGCAGGCTGTGGTTTAACCTGTTGTGCCGCAGTGCCAGCCCCAACCTTACTTATAACAAGATTTGGAAAGGCCAGCGCCATGGTTCACTAGGCTAATCCTCCGCCTGCAGTGCTGGCACCCTGGGATCTAGTCCCGGTTGGGGCGCCGATTCTGTCCCGGTTGCTCCTCTTGCAGTCCAGCTCTCTGCCATGGCCTGGGAGTGCAGCGGATAGTGGCCCAGGTCCTTGGGCCCTGCACTCGCATGGGAGACCAGGAGGAAGCACCTGGCTCCTGGCTTTGGATCAGCGCAATGCATCGGTCACAACACACTGGCCGTAGCAGCCACTTGGGGAGTGAACCAACAGAAAAAGGAAGACTTTTCTCTCAGTCTCTCACTGTCTAACTCTGCCTGTCCAAAAAAAAAAAAAAAGATTTGCAGGGTTGGCACTAGCATATAGTGGGTTAAGCCACCGCCTACAAAGCCAGTATCCTACAAGGGTACTGGTTTCATTTCTCTTCCAGCTCCTGCTAATGTGTCTAGGAAAGCAGCGGAAGATGGCCTGAATGCTTAGGCTCCCGCCACCCACATGGGAGACCCAGACTGAAGCTTCTCACTTTGGCCTGGCCCAGTCCTGGCCGTTGTAGTCATTTGGTGAGTGAACCCTGGATGGAGGATCTCTCTGTGTCTCCCTCTCTCTTTGTAACTCTGTCTTTCAAGTAAATAAATAAAAATCTTAAAAGAAAAAATTGGAGCCGGCACCATGGCACAGGTTAATCCTCCACCTGCAGTGCCAGCATCCCATATGGGCGGTGGTTCTAGTCCCGGCTGTTCGTCTTCCAATCCAGTTCTCTGATATGGCCTAGGAAAGCAGTAGAGGACGGCCTAAGTCCTTGGGCCCCTGTACCTGCATGGGAGACCGGGAAGAAGCTCCGGCTGTTGCGGCCACTGGGGAGTGAGCCGATGGACAGCAGACCTTTTTCTCTGTCTCTCCCTCACACCATCTGTAATTCTACCTCTCAAATAAATAAATATATAGAAAAAAATTACAAATTACATTATGTTCAACAGTAAAGACATGCTAATTAAAAACCAGTTTTATGCTGGAGTCTTCATCCTGCCCGATGAGGATCTACAAGCAGCAGGTAGTGATGCTGTCACATGGTGACAAAAACAGGAGCCAGGGGCCTGCACTGTGGCGCAGCAGGTTAAAGCCCCAGCCTGCAGCAACAGCACCCCACATGGAAGCCAGTTTGAGTTCCTGCTGCTGTACTTCCAGTTAACGGCCTGGGAAAGGAGTGGAAGATGTCCCAAGTGGAACACACACAGGAAGCTCCAGGCTCCTGTCTTCAGATCAGCTCAGCTCTGGCTGTTGCAGCCATTGGGGAGTGAACCAGTAGGTGGAAGACCTCTCTCTATCTCTACCTCTCTCTGTAGATCTTTCAAATAAATATTTATTTGAAAGGCAGAGTTACAGAGAGGCAGAGGCAAAGACAGAGACAGAGATCTTCCATCCTCTGGTTCACTCCCTAGATGGCCACAACGACTGCAGCTGTGCCAATCTGAAGCCAGAAGCCAGGAGCTTCTTCCAGGTCTCCCACGCAGGTGCAGGGGCCCAAGGACTTGGGCCATCTTCTACTGCTTTCCCAGGCCATAGCAGAGAGCTGGATTGGAAGAGGAGCAGCAGGGACCAGAATCGACTCTCATATGGGATGCCAGCACCACAGGCGGAGGATTAATCTCTTGTGCCACAGAGCCTGTTCCCCTAAAATAAATCTTAAAAAACAAAACAAAACAAAACAAACAAACAAACAAACAAACAAAAAAACAAAACAAACCAGGGGCTGGTGCGTCAGAGTTGGAAGTGGCTAACAATACTGCCAGTAGGACATGGAGTTTCCATGACAAGGTGAGCGTTCTTTTAGACAAACAGAAAAGGCTGGTGGGACACACATCTCAGTGTGAAAGCACAAATCAGAATGAACACATCTCATCTAGGACTTCCCTCATCCAGGCTGCATGGATTCTGCGCCACAGGAGGATGGTCAGGATGCACGGAATGGCTACTGCCTGCTCAAACACTCCACGGCTCCCTCATGCTCCCTGGGCGCTGGGCAGAGACCAGCGACGAGCTCTGGCCATGGAACTCCTGTCAGTTCTGAACTGAACTGAAGCACGAGCCACTGTGGGGCCTTCAGCTCCTCCTATGCTGCAGAGACCAGGAAGGGAGCCGCAGAGTGGAGCAGGCAGGATCAGCAAGCTACCATCTGGAGGATCTCTGGCCCCGAGGACACCAGATGGACACACGGACAGCCGCCTGCCGCCTTCGTGGGAGCAAGAAGTCACCGCTCACCGTGTGGAGTCACTGACGTCGGGCTTGTTACCAAAGCATCACCCAGCCTGACCACCAGACACTGACATTTTCTTCTCCCAATTAAAAAAAAAAGTAGTTTACTAGTTTTTACTAGTTCATTCAAAAAAGCAATATTTTCCATTTGGGATTACTTTTAAAACATATTTTAGAAAAAATAGTGGCATTTATGTGGTGTTTTACTATTTGTAAAACACTTTCCTACATAACTTAGTGCATAATCCCATTCATTATTTAAAAACAGAAACTGACACTGAGTATTTCTTCATTAAATGCTGTGACCAGATGAATTATATTAAAATTGCATTAGTGTGCTAAACACCCCAACGTCTGACATAAAGCATATTTATGTCTCTGGGAAATGGAGTGTCATGAGCATCTTAGGTATCTGCTAGTGACGCAAATCTTCTCCCCAGAATGAGGATCATAATACACCCTGCAGAGTTCTACAGTCAGCCTCTACAACCGGGCTCACTAGATAATTATTAAAATTATTTTAACACTTTAAATTTTACTTTTATTTGAATGGCAGAGAGAGAGGGGTAGAGAGAGACCTCTCATCCGTTCATTCACTCCATAAATGCCTGCAATAGCTGGGCCGGGTGAGGCAGAAGTGGGGAGCAGGAATTCAGTCTGGGTCTCCCCGACGGATGGCAGGGACCAAGTGTCTGAGCTGCCACTTGCTGCCTCCTGGGTGTGGAATGGGAAGCAGAGCCGAGACTTGGGGCCCTAAAAGC